CTTGGATGTTGCACTTATATCTATCTATGAAAGCGTTTGCTATGGACTCCCAGGTGGAGGTTTTTTCTTTCTCGAGAGAAAAGAACCATTGCTGGCAAACGGTCTCAAGAGATAGTGAGAACAGAGAGAAGAAAACCTTCTTATCGATACCCTTAATGTCTATTATAGTTTCAAAAGCTCTTAGATGGAAGTAAGGGTTATCTGTTGCCTTGAATTTAGGGATGTCAGTGGCGTTGAACTTATGCGGAAGAAGTTCCTTGTCCAACGAGACCCCTTGTGTACTCATACCCTGAAATTTATAGTCACTAGATAGCTTTCTCAAACTTTCTTGCATGAGGTTCATTTGTTGTTGCTTCACAGGGTCATCAATTTTGAGGGTTAAAGCCTTTAACACCTCAGTCACGTCATTCAATTGATTCCTAAGCTCATTGACCTCTTCTTGACTTGCCATTATCTTTTTAGCCTTCCTCTTTTGACGAATTGGTTTATCAAAAAGTGAAACTCGAATAAAGAGGTTGTCCTTGATTAATCGCCCTTCTCTCCTCGACCAAGTGTTGTGGAAAAGGAATTTGGGGATATTCATTGTTATTTATTTGACTCAAACTTTATTCAACATGCAATGGATGGAGGAAGTGAAGAAATATTGGAATAGAATGTGAAGAAAAATGATGTGGATGGAGGGATATGAAGAAAGATTGGTATAGAATGTACCCCCAACTCAAATGACGGAAAAGACCGACTCATGCATGAACCTAAGACACGGTCATGGTGACATATACTCAAAGTGTGTGCTAAGACTAGTGAGTGTAGGTGATATGATAAGACTCCTGTCATGACCATGTGGCTAGACTATGTGACTAGACTCAATTAATGACTCGACAAGGTGTTATTGAGAGCAAAATTTAGCCGACTTAATTAGCAAACTGGTTAATTAGACAAAAAATGATGACTCGATCAATAATCCGAACTATCGTCAAAACGGCAGGACTGGCGTCGCACTGTGTAGTGTAGCGCCAGACAACAGAGCTGTCGCCTGGCGCCACACTCCACAGAGTGGCGCTACAGTCCAGACTTTGGCGCCAATGCTGGAGCTTCAATCCGAGACTGTTTTCGGTGTTATTAATCAACAGGGTTATGCCTAAAGTCGTACTAGGTCAATTCTGATTAAAAAATTAGACTTTATTTACTTAAATTAATTGATTAATTAATTAGGCAAAGTTCTTTAAGTCATTAATTTATTAAATCTCAACACAAGTCAAACAAACGGTTAAGAAATCATCGTATATGCACAACAAATAATGCACAATTAGTCAAGTAGGCACAATATGATGCAATGAGTTTGCAACCTAACCATGGCTCTAGTTCTCTAAAGTTCGGGATATGGTTTAGTCAATAGAGGGTCCATGGTTAATTGTCCGGATGCACCGCGCGGAAGCCTAACCGTGAAGGGTTGGCGCGAGTGGATGGGACACCGCGAGTTTTAGAAAAACTCGCTTCCATGGTTTGGTGAATTCAGCATTCTCGGATGTACCCTTTGTTGCTCAGAGCGTTCAATCAGGTAGATGGAGCATGAATTCCCAGAGGATTATGTCCATATGTAGAACACATATGGGTTTCAAAAAAGTGAGAAAAACTCAATCAGGAAGTAGGATCGAGCAAACAATACAAAAAACTGGTCGAAATCAGAACGCATATTTCTGGCTCGGTATTGGAAGAATTTTGCGCCAGCAAACAGAGATTGGCGCCAGGTTTAGCTGTAGCGCCTGGCGAGCCTGTCATCTGGCGCTACAATTAAATGTATGGCGCCATTGCTCTGGTCCCTGACGCTAATTCCTACATGCCTCAGCAGCTTTCTGTGCTCGATAAAATTTTCAAGTTTCGCGCAGTGTTATTTCGGTCCTAGTTGTGAAAGATATTTCTTAAATTTCCTACGTGTAAAATCCTATGTTTTAACTCATTACAGATGGTCTTTCCAATGAGATCTTTTTTATGCATATGACAATAATTTAATCAAAATTACGCACATGAAATACTTAGAACGTTTCGAGTCTCATCCACTCATTCTAAATCATTGCCGAAACAAATTCAGGAATTAAATAGAAATCCTCCCCAGTGGAGTCGCCAAAAACTGTAGGGAATATTTCAAGCATCAATCCCCTAGCTTGAACCCCACTGTGATCATACACTAAAGTACGGTGGCGTCCAAAGGGAAAGAAGATAGAGCAAAACAGTCGCCAACAAGTTTTAGGAACTTGTAAACCGTTCACGAGGTGAAGGTTAAACCCCTTAACGATCAAAGAGATCGTCAACTCCATAAGGTCTTGAACCAAATAGGGTTCGGGGATGAAGGTACAAATCCAACCTAAAAGAGATTGAACCTGCCTTAATAATAAGCCTCTACTTTATTCTGCTCGTATTCATGTGCGCTTTTTGACTAACATACAATCAATAGGATTAACCCTAAACCTGTTTATCTACGTTGGTTGAATATTAATGCACAAATAAAACTATTATTGGCGATCACTTGAATTATAATCACATTAACCCTAAACAAGATTACTAATTATCTTATATAAGCGTGATTACAAGTACTAATTCCCTTTAAACATGCATAAAGGCGTGATCAAGCAATAATAATAAATAATATTCATCAAGCAACATAATAAATAATCAATAATAATACATTATAATAACAATCATGATAATCATAATCATAATTAATAATCATAAATCATGTTAAAGCATAATAATAGCAAGATCCTAGGCATGATACTAACAAGATTAATAACAAACCCTAGAACGTCACTAAACAATAAAAATCAAAGCTTTAACCCTAACATGATAATAACAATCATAAATATTAGGAAAGAAAATAGAAGGCATCATACTTTTAATCATACTTAATATTAAAATTACCCTAGACATGATACTAGGAATCATAATAACAACCTAAGCATGAACTCTATATCATAACATCAATTAAACCATTAAATGTACTTACTTGGATGCCTCGTACCTCTTTCTAATAACAAAATACACACGTTAGTAACTTCAAGGAAAATAATAAACAACAATTAAATTAAATAATTGAAAGAGAGATTAGGGACCAAACCCTCAGAAATTAAACCTTTCACGTCTAGGGCGAAGGCAACTTCGAATATGGCTAGGTGTATCTAGATCTAATGAATGCAGAATTTTGTATGTAAAAGGCTAGTTTAGAATAAGAAAGAGAAAGAGAGAGAGTAATCAAGAATCTTGATGAGAGTTGGTGAAAATAGATGAGAATAAGAATTGATAAAAATTAGAAAGAATAAGAATTGATGATTGTTGATTGGTGAGAATTGATGAATGAAAACGGAGTTTTTACGACATTATTTATAAAGAAAATCAGCCAAAAAACAGAGTTCTGGCGCACATAAAATCTGATTAGCGCCAACGCTGGCTATTGGCGCCAGGTGCCAATCCTGCGCCAGGCACTACAGCTGACGTTTGCACTGATTCAGAAATTCACGCGTTTTCTTAAAATCAGATAAAAATTGTCGTACAGGAAGATAAAATTGTATTTCCCGAAAAAAATGTTCTTTGATTTTAATTAAAACTCTGAAAAGTCAACAAAAGTCAATTTATCAATGCTAATTGAATTAAGAATGAAAAGAACCTTCTAGAAGAATCTAGAAGACTAAAACCATTCCTAATTACATTAGGAATGATAAATCTATATTAGGCCCTCCCCTAGATCATTCGGCCGCATATAAGGCTCAAACCGGGCCCAGTTCAGTAAATTGGTCATAACTTCCTCAATATTCATCGGAATTGGGCTTATAATATATCGTTGGAAAGCTCTGGTCAAGCCCCATCCAACTACACTTCTATTGTACCCATATCATGGACTAAACAAACTAGATTGGCTGTTTTCTTAAAATAAGTTTTTAAAAACAGAGAGAAGAGAAAAGAAATTAAAACTATCCGCAACACTAAACTTTCCACACTTTCACTTCATTCGATTATGATTCGACGTGAAAGGTACTCATCACTGGGTTTGGTTTTGGGGAGATACAAATGGGTGTCTACAGAAGCCTCCACTTTGACTGAGTTTGGAGAAACGAAAGTTTCGAAAACAAAAGTCAAAGTATCGATAGGGACGGAGAATGATTCAGAACGTTCTGCGATCCTAAATCACTCTTGCAACGCCGATACCTGCAAACTAGCGTTAGTTAAACAGATAAAAGAGTTAAGAAACGCGTATTTTGCACCGTCGAGCACACATCTCTGAAAGTAACCGATTTGTTACCGAATTACTGATTTTGATGACCTCCTGCCAAGAGAATGCCATCCCTCTTGAAAACCGCTACACTTGTAACTGCTTCCAATATTGAAGACTGCTTCACTTGAAACGATCCTCCTCCGCTTTGATAATATTCCACGTCCAAGGGAATACTATCGAAGATTGCTTCGCTTGAAACAATCCTCTTCCGCTTTGTGACCATCTTCCACGTCTAAGGGAACATGATCGAAGACAACTTCGCTTGAAATCACCTTCAATTGTTTGTGACAACTCTCCACAATCTAGGGAACGCCACCTTGCTATTTCGATGTTCACTCGTCTCTGAACAAAGAGCTTCTTTTTTATATTATTTTGATATGTTCACGCTCTCTGAACAAAGAGCTTGATAGTTTGATAATGATGTCCTTACTATCTTCATAACTAAAGGTCCCAGCTTCAACCTTAACCTTCATAGTTTCACCTTCGAGTAATGAAGATAACAAACTATTCAAAGACCCACACTTCTGAGACAAGTTTTCCAAAGCATAATCCATAAGAAAAACTTTTTTTGGATTGGTGTTGGACTCTTTTGTTTCGTGACCACTTTCAACTACTTTCAGTTTATCTTGCATGTTTTCTTTGGCCGCTTTGTTGTTATCATCGTTCTTATTTTATATGAATTCATAATCAATAGTAAAGCAAATCTATTCAACAATTTGCTATATTTATATGGCAAACTATATGTAAATTGTTACAAAAATAATTTACCTTGTCATGCATGAGTGAAACCAAGTCTTTCGGCCATTGGGTAAATGTACCGTGAGCATGCTTAAGTTTCTTGATGACTGAAGAAGGAACTGGAACCAAGAATTCTTTGAACTCGTCAAAAAAATCATCAACACTTACCCTCACGTGATCCGGAAGAAGGTTACTATGATGATCAAGGATTAACTCCGGATGATATGTACCTTTAGCGACAATGACTTTCTCAGAGTCATTTTTCAACAATGATAGCCGACATGGAACCGGTTCCTTACAAAGATAGAAAAAAAATCATTATTTAAAAAAATAGAAAACTGAGTTACAAAGTTAAAAGTATGTCGTAGTCATAAATCATTAAAAAAAAAAAGGTAAAAAATTTAAAATAACAAAGTTTTGGATACCTGTATGTTTGCAAATGGATCATCACCCACTGATTGGCAACTACTAGGGTTTTGTTGAGTCGTCTGGCCTATGTTATTCATTTCCATCAATTCAGTTGGAATTCGAATACCAATCTATTTAGCAAATAACATAAACTTCTCTTGAACCATGGAATCCATTTTAGAATCCATCTCCTGCATAGTCTCCTCTCGTACCCTCCAAGCTACTCTTGCCTCTAATTCTTCCAGCTCAGCATCTCCGAATTCCCTACCCCGTCGGCCACTACGCCTCTCTCCGGATCCCCATACAGCTTTAATGCCAATTCCACTGCCAAATGCTATTGCCCGACCATTACGATCTTTTTTCCCAAGGGCACGAGATAAGATGTCATCATGCCTATTAGGAACAAATTTTCCATCAACTTGTTGCTTTCTCCAATTATCCTACACAAAGACTTCAAGTTAGAAAACTTTGGTTGCAATACATAAACTTAACAAAATATATTCAAAATTGAAATAAAGACTTATTATATACTTACAATGGATTCTTTCACCTCTCTTGTTTTCTCATCCGGCAAATAAGGATTTCCCTTATCATCTTCTATTGATCTTGCTAGAAGCCAAGCATATGTCCTATCCGGCAAACTAGACACAACCGAAGAACAAGATGAAGTACTGGATGCTGAAGATGCTGTGGGAATATACCCTTTTCTACGCCATACAATATTCATTTCACCATATGATTTGGCTCCTAAATGGTGAGGGTATTCGTTGAAAGACTGGCTTTGTCTTGCCTTCTCACTGATTTCCTATTTTCACGAGCATAAATGAAGATTAGTACATAAGAATCCGTTAACAAAGTATTAATAACTTGCATGATCATTGATATTAATACACACAAACCTTAAAATCATTTGTACTATGCTCCTCCACAAATGTTTTCCACATATCCTCATATATGAAATCATAGAGTACATACAGCATTCTTTTCTCCTTCGGCATATTCCTGGTACATGTGATCCAACCACTGACCAATTTTGTTTTAAAATCTCTCCAAGTTTTATCACAAGTGCGTAGGACCTTTTTTTTCTTGTCTTCATCTTCTTCGATTTGAAACTCTCTCTACAAAAAAAAAATTAAAAAAATAAAAAAAAAAAGTTAGTAAATAATTTCATCATATTCAAATAAATTGTTTTCATCATATTCAAATAATGTCAAAATGATCATATAATAGTATAACATTTAACATTTAATAGTGAATATTACCTTAACATCTTCCCACAAAGTGTCTTTTATTCCTTGTGGAACTTGATTCCAATCTTTATACAATATAGACACCTTTGCACGGCTTATTTCACCAAGATGACTTTTGTATGCTTTTGCCCACTTTCCAATGGGTCGACACAATTCATCCTGTTTCGGGGTTTTCTGATGTCCTGCGGGAGAGTTACAATTCCGAGACTGGAACCGGACGCCTGTACCTGCAAAATAACGGAGACTCCTGAGAGCTCCGCCTCCAACGGTCAAGTTAGTACCTGATTAAGGAGTAATTAATACAGAAATTAAAGTAATAAGGTCTCTCTAGGTGAGAGTATTTAATGTAGGTAATCTGCTTTGCTAGCGAGATCAGCCGGTTATTAGTGTGTTCCGTAATGTTTCTCCTCCGTTCCGTTAATTATTCGGTTCCTTGATTAATGAGGATTAATCGAGTATTTATAGCCTTGGGAAGCGTGCAACTCTCTAGGTTTAAGGTAAACCTAGGGCTGATCGGGCTTCTAGACTGAAATGGGCCTTGATGGCCGGTTGTCCCATTTGGCATGGGTGGACACGTGGCGTGTCTTAAGTGGTCCGTGGAGGACGCGTGGCGGAACCTGGTTGGTCCACTTGTCAAACGGCGCTTGGTGGATAAAAATCCCCTAATCATTTGCCCCTCACAGGTGGCACGCGACTGGTCACGTGTCGCCTGTGACAGGCGTCGCACGGTGACAGGCGACGGCCCGTTACAGGTGTCACCTTGCAGACGGCCGGGAGACTCTCCCGCCCAACTTTGAATTCGGAAGCGACCCTTCGCCTTCTCATTTTGCCTATAAAAGGAAGTGCTGACTTCGGTCATTTTCACATTTGAGAATTTTTGCGAGAACATTCGGACCCCTGAACTTGCTCTGACATTTTCGGACTTTTTCTGCCTACCGCCTGTTCTGACAAGCCGACTGACCCGAACTTTCAGGACTTCATCAACTGTCATCCGTTCAGGTAACTCAGTTCTCTTACTCTTAATTTTCTTTTTATTTTTTGAAATGGCACCATGGAAGCACACGACACGCCCTAAGTTAGTGATCAGCCGGTCACCGGGGACGGCTGAATCTAGGACTAGGAGTGCCGCCTGCCCTTTTCTGGACCCATCTTTGCCCTTTATACAAAGTCCGACTGAATCTGTGTCTATGCAGAACGTGATGGCCAGAACAAAAAAGACTGCTAGAATATCAAACTCAGACGGCTCCTCCCAAAGGGTACTCCTTAGCGAAACATCTGACCAGGCGCCAGATGTGGAACGAGGCGACTGTCAAGCTGACAGTTCTGAGAGAGGGACCAAGGTGTTCCCTTCTCATCTAACCGTGGACATGTCCAATTTACCTTCTGCTCCTTCTAAGGGAGAGGAGGCGGGCCCCTCTAGGAGAGGGGAGGAGTCGTCCTCTTCGGACTCGTCAGGGGACGAGTCCGATTCCAGCTCTTCTGACCATAGTTCTTCTAACCATAGTTCTTCTGACTCAGAAGAAAAACATAACCGCCTACAAGAGGCGAGAAGTTCCCATGCAGTGGAGAAGGGGGATAATTGGGCAGAGCCGTCCGCCTCTTACAGAGAGGAAAACACCCCCTACTACTGCAGGGTGCCCCGGGGCCGGATCGCAACCATGCGAGACAACGTGGCGAGCTTTATTGCTAACCACAAAATGGGCCCGGAGTATTTACTGTTTGTGCCGGATCCAGAAGATACTGTCGTCTGGCCGGCTGGTACCAGCTATGGTGACGGCTGTTTTGGCTGCTATGTGGCGGCCATCAAAGCTGGTCTGCGCTTCCCATTACAGCCTTCGCAAGCCGATTGATCGGAAAAACAAAGAGGTAAAGGCCGCAAAGGCTATGGCCGCCTCCAGCTGTGATAAAGCAATGTTTCAAATTGCCCAAAATGAAGTACTGACCATTGATCTTCTTTATTATCAGGCGCAGGCGACCGCCGCTGTTCGGGCTCAGCTAGAGGCGGCCCAAAAGAAGGTTGACGAGCTGGAGGGGACCGTCACCAAACTTAAAGCCGAGCTGAAGCCCCTTCGTCAGAAAATGCACTCTTACGAAGCCATGGAGAAATCTTTGGCTAACGTAAAAGAACGCCTGGTGAACCAGGAGAAGAGTCTTACCCAAGAGCTCTCGGACAAGGCCGAGCAAGAGAAACAAGAGCTCGTCCGGGAGATGGTGGAAGACTCCGCCCAAATCCAACGCATGACCTGGGAACGACTGTTCCCCAGTGCCGACTTTGCCTCATGGGAAAGAACGTACCGCCAGTGTTCGGAAATATATAATCAACAGATCCTGGCGGCTGCTGAAGAAGAGGCGATGGACGTTGCGTTGGAGGAGGAAGAGCCGGTTGTGGCGCTTGTGCCACTTGGGGGTAAGGCATCAAAAGATGATGCAGCTAAGGCCGAGTCCAGCAAGAAGAGTGCTGACCAGGCGGCTGCTGCTGATACTGAACTGCCCCCTTCTTAAGCTTTAAGTATATTTTTTTTTTTTTTTCACGGCCTGCGTGCCGTTTGCTTTGTAATTACCCGGCCAGGGGGCCGGGGTTTTGAATATTCTGCTGGTCTTTTATGGCCGGCTCATTTTAATCAAATTTTTTGTTTTTGTTCAAATTTGTCTAAGTATTTGAAATTTGCTCACTAGACAGACTGTTGTGCATGGCCGAACGTTAAGACAGGTACAAATAGTAAGTATGCCGCCTATGCCCCTGGACGACTGGTTGTCTGTTTCCAGGATAGATGATCAGTCGGCCATTTAATCAATCGGTATTCGAACTCTTTATTCAATTTGACCAAGTAAATAGAATTACCAAGTAGCCAAGGAATTTAAGTAGGAAAACAAGCGGCGGGTACCGGTTGTTTCCCTTTATTGCCAATGTTGGCCTCTAATTTGTTATTTGTTAACCTAGCAAGAGTATTGGTTGAGAGCCTTTGTTTATTAAAAACAAGTGGACGACTCGTACCTTTTAGGCTCAGTACTAAGTTTGAGTGACTATTAAGTTAACATAGGAGTTACTTAGTCTTCGTCACAATCTTGATTGAGTAGTAGAGGTACCAGGCGGCGTAGGCCGGCTAGACCCCTTTATTCGCCAATGTTTGTTGGCTATTAACTCAATAGGTTATCCAGTAGGAATAGGGGTTCGAGTGCCCTTGTTTGTATAAAACAGGCGGACGACTCAAACTTTTTAGGTTCCATACCAAATTTGAAGGAGTGACTATGAGTTAACTTTGGAGTTACTCAGTCGCCGTCACTTTTGTTTGAGAAGTAGAGGTACCAGGCGGCGTAGGCCGGCTAGACCCCTTGATTCGCCAATGTTTGTTGGCTATTATCTCAATAGGTACCCCCTGCATTTATCCCAAGTAATACAGGCGGTCATCTGACTCAGATGTCAACTGCTACCACTGGTTTGGTTAGTGATAGAGTTATCCTTGTCTCAAAAACGGCTACGTGGTTGCCCTTTGGGACAGTCGTATAGGTGCCGTGTAATTAGTTTATAGAACAATGTTCCACCCAAAAGGGAGCTGCTCTCTGCGACGAATTTCATCCGAATGGATGCCGCCGGACGCCTGCTATAATGTTGGGACAGGTCGGATTAGTTTTTAAAAGTTAGATCAGTTGACTAGGCGCCTGGTCTGATCATTCGGCCGGTGGCCTTGGTAAGTTCTTGGTGAACGTAGGTGCTAAGTCAAAGAAGGGTAGCCGCCTGTTAGGCACAGGGTCGGCCAGGCCCTAATCTTTTTAGCTAAGTATTGTGAGTAAAATACTCAATGGAGAGTAGCCGACTGTAAAGGTACAGACGGCATGCCCCTCTGATGATAGAGTGAAAAAACTCAATGGAGAGTAGCCGACTGTAAAGGAACAGACGGCATGCCCCTCTGAAGATAGAGTGAAAAAACTCAATGGAGAGTAGCCGACTGTAAAGGTACAGACGGCATGCCCCTCTGAAGATAGAGTGAAAAAACTCAATGGAGAGTAGCCGACTGTAAAGGTACAGACGGCATGCCCCTCGTAATACAAAATTGAATAGTAAGTGCCAACTTTATTAAGTAGCTCTTTACTTTACATCATTCAAAAGAAATATTTCTTAAGGTTATCTACATTCCAAGTTCGAGGCAACGGTTGTCCGTCTGGTGTTTCCAGACGGTAGGTACCGTCCCTGACTTCCGCATAGATTCGGTAGGGTCCTTCCCAGTTGGGAGTTAGTTTGCCAGACTCGTTAGCCCTACCAACTGCTTCCATTTTTCTAAGTACAAAGTCCCCTACTTTGAGTGGACGCCTGTGCACTTTCTTGTTGTATGATCTAGTCATTCTCAGGCGGTAGATTTCATGGCGCAAAACAGCATTGTCCCTCTTTTCAGGAAGTGAATCTAATGCCAGGCGCATAGCTTCCCAGTTTGCCTCTTCGTCATATAGCATTACTCGAAGAGTCGGCTCGTAGTGTTCTATTGGAAGAACAGCTTCTGCACCATAAGTTAGGAGGAATGGAGTTTCTCCAGTCGCCCCTTTTTCAGTCGTCCTAATGGCCCAAAGAACATGTGGTAGTTCATCTGCCCATAGGCCGCCTGCTCGTTCAACTTTTTTCTTGAGACCGTCTGAGATGATTTTATTAAAGGCTTCTACCTGGCCGTTTGCTTGTGGACGGCCGACAGATGCAAAGTAATGTCCAATTCCTTGGTCTCCCAACCAGCTTTTGAGAACAGGCGTCTCAAATTGGGGACCATTATCAAAAACCATAGACATGGGAACCCCGAACCGAGTGATGACGTTTTTCCAAATGAATGAAATTACATCTTTCGTCTTGATTCCCTTTACAGCCTCCGCCTCTACCCATTTAGTGAAGTAGTCAACGGCAACAAGTATATACCTTCTGCCGCCTGTAGCAGGCGTATATGGACCCAGAATGTCCATGCCCCACTTAGCAAACGGTAGTGGGCTGTGAATAGTAGTGAGGTCAGTAGCCGGACGGTGAATTAATTTGCCAAACCTTTGGCACTTGTCACATTTTTTCACCATCTCCATTGCATCTGCTTCCAAAGTAGGCCAAAAGTAGCCCTGCCGCCTTGCCCTTTGAGCAAGCATCCTACCACCTA